TATGAACACAATATAAATGCAGTCCTTTGGCACTTGCAAAGCTGGCCTTGTCTCCAGTGCTGGTTAAGAGAGCAGCCTTCCCCTTCCCCACCCGCAAGCCCCCCCCCCCCTCCCCTGCTGTGCTTCATAGACTGCTTCTATCTTTCAGAAAATGAGGAGGCAACTCTCTGTGCCAGAAATTTCTCATTATGTGTTGCACAGCCCCAAGCTCAGGAACTCTTGATCCCTCGAGCTCCCTCAGAATACAATGAACAAAGGCATAAAATAAGCCACTATTTGAAAGTGTCACATTCATTAGAGATGAGCTGCAGAAATAACTCTGGAACTGAGCAACGCTGAACTTGGAGGATATTTAGGTTCAAATCCAAACTTGATGTCGTGTGCACGTTTTCACGTTTTGCAGATAGAAAAAGGACAATATTTTCGTTCTGGAGCTGACCAAAATTCATCCAGTGTATCCAGCTACAGCCCCCTTGCATGCTTGGGAGATCAGGGCCTGAGCTGGCCTCCGTTATCAGCATAGAAGATCTTGCATAAGAAAAGCATCTTTATTCTTCAGGGATTCAGGGACTGAAAATGGAGCCTTGATTCCAGGTGCCATTTGTGTTAAGAGATAAGTATCACTATGGGAAACGAACAACATTATCTCTACTTCTGCCTATTCCCACCAATAAACAGCCCAAAGAAGATTGGTGGTACATGCTGCTGCGTTAATGAGGGAGACATCATTAATCAGCAGACACAGTGACACAGGCTCTGACCTTTGGCTCAAACGCAATCCCATCTGCTGACTTCACTCCCCAGGAGGAATCTTCTAAGCAGAAAAATACAAGCTCCTGGGAACTAGGGAAGAATTTAACATAGGCATTTAATCTACTTTTAATATTTCCTGGATGCTAGGCTTGGATAAGGAATCTGAAAACAAGAGGAAACCATCTCCTCTTCCTAAAGCAAGATGGTCTCAGTGCAAGCTGAGAAATCATTCCTTTCACCAGCTATAAAGTTAGCGCAAACAGACTGAACAAGGGAACACCTGCAGCTTTGAGATTTTAGGCTTGGAGCACACCTGGATAAAGAAAATGTCCTCTTATGGTTGCGGTCATTATTTTGATTAAAACCCTCGGCTCAGTGAGGAGGTTACTTGGACTGATACAGATACTTTGGCAGTACAGACGTTTTCAGCAAATCAGGAATTCAGTGCTCTATCAGCTGTACCAAACAGTTCGCTCCTGACATATCAAAGCATGCAGCAAACTTTGAGACAGGGCCCAGATCTTCCTATGTTTATAAATTGTTAGCATCAGATTAACCCTTACAACATGCTGGCTCTCTGTTCCCCTATTCACGTAGTTTTAGTGACTCACATGGGGTGCATGTCCGAGAGGGGAGCAGTGATAACCCAGACAAAGGTATCGTCTTCACCTCCTGACTGCCTGCTGGGGACATGCTGGTGATTCATGTCTGGGAAACAAGCCCTCGAAAACAATCTCAACCCTGTCAGTTTAGAGCATCCCTCATGTTTATGCCATTCTAACAGAAGGACCCCTAGGTCAGTAAATCATACCAAAGGAAAGCATCCTCTTTTGGTGGTCTCCTTAGCAATTGAGGTAAGATAAGTGATGGAACAGACACCGTGGATGCTGGAGATGTCTCTTTTTATGGCCATCCAGGAAGGAGAGTGAAAGGAAGCTGTTTATGGCCGCATCATGCTGCTTTTGCAGGCGTTCTGGGAAGTGGGGACCCACGCAGAGGCCCCTCGCATCTGGATGACAGATTCAGACAATGGATTGTTTTTAATCTTGGTATATAGGAGATTCCAGCTAAACTGATTTCATATGTGCTTTGCCTGGTCCCCAGCCAGCATGGGTGAGGCAGACCAAGGCAAGAACAATTTTTTACGTCCTGAGGTTGCGCCCATGGTTCTAGTGCAGTTCAGCCTTCGTCCATTGGCCAGCCAAATTGCATGGGACATCATTGGGTTTGGGGAACAGGTTCTTTGCCCGAGATGCACATAAAAGGGCTGTTTTGGATTCTATCGGTTCCAAGTCCTTGGGTGCCGGAGCACTGCAAGAAATCCTTCTGTTAAAATTTTAGAAAGTCTCGTGGCATCCTGCCAAGGAAGATCCACAGACACAGATGTCTTCTCAACATAAAAGAACGTCCATCCCCCACCGAAGGATTAACCTCTGTAGCCGGTGTCTCACTTTGGAAACGTTTTTCTGAAGAGCTGAACCCAGGTCACACGGCATGCACCGACACAGAGACTAGTAGAGTTATGCTAGCAAGGCAAATGTCTGGATTGCAGGAGCGTGGGGGTATGGGAACAGTCACCTGGAAGCAGTGATGCTCCTTTCCCCGAGAACTGAATGTTGGGAGAAACCCCACAGGACAACGTATGCTGTCAAACCCACAGTGCCATGGAGGTGCTTTAATGCTAATATGGTGCCTGCTTAAGTTATCGTGCTTATATGTGGCTGCTTTGAGTGCTCTCTCTGTGTAACAGTTAGCTGCCTACAGTTCTGCCACTGTAAATAACTTTGCCACCTGGAAACAAATTCCAGGTTAAACGTCTGGATTCTAGTGCATTCATCATCCCTTGTCTTGGTTACAACAAAGCCTTGGAGAGGAATGAAAGGGAGGTGGAGTTCCTGAAGCCCAGCTAGGTGGGACGCAGTCACGCCAGCACAACCAACACGTTTCACCCCTAAAATGGCAAACACAGGCCAGCAGGGTTTCATTAGGGTATGTGGGAAAGAGCTTTAAAAACCAAGGCAGGAAAAGTTTAATGCTGTTTTCCTTTTCATTTGCCAGATGTTTGGAAAATACAACAAACGTTTATTCCCCTACTTCTGAGAGGTGCAGCCTGCCTGGCAAGGTATGCGTCTGGCCCACGAGAACGGCTGCAAGATGCTTGGGGAGAGCGTGTCCTTCCTATAGAGGTCTGCACACCTCTCGGAGACATGCCGAGCAGTGATAAAGGAGATGCCGAGACTGGACCTTAAGGAACTGGAGCCAGACTCTCATGAAGAGGGCTTCGACTGGTGGCACTGTGAATGTTAATATACTGATTGCACCTAATCCTTGCCTGTGCGCCACACTTTCCTACAGCAGTGTGTGCCTTAAGGCATGAACCAAGACATTGCCTCTCACAGTCTAGGCGAGTCCTGAATTTAACTAAGGAGTACAGTGGACCAACTTATCCTGAGTCCAAGAGCAAAGAGCAGTTCCAGGGGCTTCCAGAACCAGGCAGAGTTCTGCCTTAACTACCACAACCGGTCTTAACATTGTTAAATTTTCATACCCCAAATGAAAACTAGCCCTCTGGTCTGAGGATCGGGTATTTGGCTGTTTCTAAGCAACTCTGCTAACCACCTGGAAAGTTATTTCCCTTGAAAATGGCAGAGGTCTCTGCACCATCTTACCAGACCCGGCTGAGCTGTTGGGAGCGGTCCTTTCTGTTTCCTGCAGATCCCAGTCCCTCCAGACACAGAGATCTGACTGCCGACACTGCAGATCAGCTTGCCCACATGTTCAGAGCAGAGTTGCACCTGCACATCTGGGCAAAGCATCTGGGTCCTCTACTGAAGTGTTTTTAGAAGGTAATTAATACTTAAACTCCTCCAACTTCTGTGCTGAAGAAGAGGCAAAGAGGAGTTTCTGCAAAGTTCCTTTCCATCAGGTTGGGAACTTCTCCAGAGAGTTTGAAAGTTGACTGCGCTGCCCAGGCCGCCCACAGCGCCAGGCTAAGGCTGACGCTGAGAGGAGGCAGACTGCGTTCCCCACTGCTTGGCTTCAAACCACAGTAGCTCCGTAGCTACTGCTAAGGCACTAATGCTTTAGAGCATCCCTAACTGTAAGCACAAACCATGCCTCTGAAGCACTGTATCATTTCCAAGAGAGGTGCTGAGGCTGAAAAGATCACTCCCATTTACAACTCAGTTGAAGATGAGCAAGGTGCATCCTACAAAGTAACCAGAAAGACAGGAAAACCAGGCACAGCAGGCAGACTGTCTGCAGACAACCCTGGATTGGCAGGCAGGTATGCTTCCCCTGTGGGGCTGGGACAGTATCAGGCCACTGGCTCAAAGGAGGGATGCTCACAGGCGTGCTGCTGACTGGCATTTCGTGTCTCTAATACCAAGTTTTCATTTGTGCCTGCTTTGTATTCAAGGACAAGGTTCAGGTTCTGGCCAACACGTCACTTTGGAAGAACATCATCAAGTCAGTGAAGCAACACTGCATTTACTTGCTCCATACCCTCATCTCATGGAATCAGATCTTCTGCAGTGCACCGAGAGCCATAATGTTATTTCTGGTTGTCTTATTCCGTCACCATCCCAGCTAGTCAGGCTCTACGTGCTTTACCTTCCTTCAAGTGACTCTATTGAACTAGAGGCAACAAGTTGCAAGCTGCAAAAAGATAAATATCAAGTGGATATAAGGAAAATATTCCTCACCATGACAGTGGTGCAACCCTGAGACAAAAGCCCCAAAAGAAAAGGCTTTGTGTTTTCAAAACTCAGTCAAACTGAGCAACATGAGCAACCTGATCTAGCTTTGAAGCCAGCCCTGATCTAAGCAGGAGGTTGAACTAAAGCCCTCCAGAGGTCCCTTCTGTTCAATGAGTGTGTGTTGTCATTAAAATACCTTTCAGAAAACACCTGCATGAAATAAAAAACTCTTTCTAGTTTAAGAGAAGATCAGACAAGCTCTATTCCTCATTTCCTCGCCTTGGACTGTGGCAAGCAGATGAACAGTTCTGAGATTCATACTGCAGGACATTTTCTAACATGCCTTGATGCTTGCAGTACTCCCTCCTACCTGGAAGCTGTATCAAGGCTGGCATGGGAGCTCTTTCCCATCTGTACTTTGCCAGCCTTGGAGATGCCCTGTGAGCAGAGAGATTCTCAAGTTTTTAAATGCCCTTGTGCTCTCAGAGTGTGTCTGGGAACCCCGTGCTGAGCAGTCTGGTCAAGCCCTGCAGAAGTCTGCAATCTTACCTTCACACCTGTGGCTGGTCTCGCTCTGCTTGTGTCCCGCAGGGCATTTGCACTCATAAGAACCCACCGTGTTGATGCAGTTACCACCTTGACAGAGGCCAGGAATGGCTTGACATTCATCCACGTCTACAGGAAGAAGAACAAAGATGTTCAAAAGTGCAACCATTGCTACAGAGGAATGTTCTATCCCAGCGTGGTGGGAATGCTATGAGAAAGACGAAGCTTTGCTCCAAGTAGGTGGATTTACATTTCCTAATGCAATTATCCATCTGATTACGTTAGAGGGAAGGTGAAGGACAGAAAATGGACCTAAAGGTATTGCTGCCTTATCTACACAAGCGAGAGGGAGACAAAAGTATAGTAACATTTTCCATAGCAAACATCAATGTTTCTACCCCCTCGTGCTTCATTCCAGGTTGGTAGCTGAGGTGAGGATGAGATCTGGTTTGGTGGGACGTCCTCCTGCAGCCTTCAGAGAGCAACGACTGCTGCAGGGCAGAGAGGGGAACCTATGGACTGTAAGCTTTTGCTCTTCAGCCCCGTCCCAGGAAGGCTCATCCTGCAGCCATGGTCTCCTCATCTGTGAGGGGACATTGTGCTTTCCAAAGCACCTCAGGAAGGCCTCAGTACTTGCTGCTAGAACCAGCACGCTCGTGTGCTGCAGATATTATTTGTAATCCTGTTCTGCTTGCAGTAACAGTGAGTGACATATTTATTAAATAGGCCAAGCTCTCCTGAAGAGACTGGGGCCATAAAATGCAGATTACAATAGGCAGCAAGAGAGTTCTCCTCTTCAGCCTTCCCAATTTTATCCTACAGACACTGGCCAATGTGGGATTTGGACTGTAATTTTGGCTTTTGATTGTGGCAGGTAAAGGCTGGAATTAGTTGCAGATGCAGAAAGGAATTCGCGCAACTCTACATGGAGACCCCTGCAACCCATCAGTGGGGAGAAGCAACAGCAGCTCCGGAACAGCGGCTGCCGATGGGATCTGCTGATGGGAACTCAGTGGACCATTCTGCTGTTTTTACCTGGGTGTCCTAGACACTGAATGCAACCTCTAAGCATGTGATTTATGTACATTTTAATTGCTTGTGTGATCTCAAAGGAGTTATGGCTTCTGTTTTGAACCAGTAATACAATTTACAGAGCACTAGTCACCTGATACAAGTGCTGATCATGCTCCAGTGCTGGGACAAAAGCTCCAACAACAATAGCAGCACCACAGAATGAGGGTATACGGAAGGCTGTAGCTTAGTTTTAAGCCTGGAGAAACACTAGCCTGATTCACTGCATCTTGTGGGATGGAGGAATGTCACCTGAGAACCACAGCACGGCCAGAACGTTTACGTGAGCTAAGATGATCTTAGGTGATCCCATGAGAGACCCAAGGTCCATGGTGATGCTCTGGGACATTCAACAGACCTAGCAAAGTTTACACAGAGAACTGTTCTCTGTGCTGGGGCTCCTGGTAGTCATTCATCACTCGCCCTTTCAGTGCACATCAGGATGGATAAGGGAACATCCTTTAGATGTTCATGGCATTTACCTTGGCAGGCTCCAGTACGAATGTTGGGAATGAAACCTCGGCGGCAGGGGTGAGGTTGGGCAGGGCACATCTCACATGGGTGACCCCAGGCCCGTCCAATGGTGGCACAACACATGGTCTTGGTGCAGACGATCCCACTGAGTTGGCCCTGGCACATCTGGTTATTTACTTGGCTAAAGCAGGGACCAGTACGATAGTCTGAGGGAGAACAGTAACATCCACAGGTTAGATCAAGACACAAACACAAGGTTTCCTGTCTAACACACAGAGTGCCTATTCCCCTTCCTACCAGCACAGCCATTCAGGTGCAAAGTCAACAAGTTCTGGGAAAAAAAAACCTACATTCATGAAAAGAACAAAAATTTAAACCAAGCTGGAGACTAGTACTGGAAGTGGTGACCTTCTTTCTGCTGTATGTCTCGTGATCATCTAGAGGTTCTCCAGGCCAGCTCTTCCTGGTGTCCCTCAGGCTCATCCCATGAACTGTACTTATTCTATGCCTTGAGTCACCCCCTTTAAGTACTGGCCCTAGAATGAATTCAAAATATGAAGTCAGGCAAAGAGGCAATTTCAGGGCTGCGAGTTCACCTCTTCTGTGGAACTGCTGGGGTCAGCAAAGCAATCAAATTTCATTTTAGTTAGGGGCAAAGGTGCATATGGAGATGACATGGTACAAGCGTCTCATGGACAGCCTTAGGGCCTGACAGTCCATATAACAAAAACATACAGGATGATGGAGATACCTTCCTGCCACATCACTTCTACCTGGCTTGCAGAGGAAGAGTCCTAGATCTCACCCACAAAACATTCTGGGAGAGAATTTCTAAACCTTTCCCCGTGATGTCTACTGTAAATCGCACAAAGGGATTCCTACGCACTCTGACAGTCTCTGTAAAGGCAGCCTCCGGCAGTCTTACACGTCATTGTGATTAATTTCTTTGGTTTAACCCTTAAAGGTCCCCTGGCAATTTTAACTAGACGTTTAAAACCCAGATGCTGCAGAAACAACCAGCCTGTTTCTCATTCCCAACAAGGACCCTCCTATCCCTTAAAACTAAAAAGATTTTGAAGGGCTTGTTTGCACTAAGGAATGTAGTTTTGCCACTGTCTGGGCTCTCATGACCCTTGATTAGGGATATTAGCACAGCAGGCATTCATCAGGAAACAAAATTCTTAAACAAGAGGTTTTTTTCCTGCTACTGGGAATAGATGATTGCATGCAAGTGTTTGATCTGTGGCTGGAAAAAGGACCTTTAACCATGTTATTGTCAGACCAGAAAATTCCACATTAACTGTCTGAGGAAGTTAGGTGTTGGTCAAACAGCCATTATTTCAGATAGTCTGGCTGAGATTTGCAAAGATGCTTATGGAATTTTGATGTTGGAGTGCCCCGTAATTAGTAATTGACTGTGAACCCAAATCCCTGCATCAGTACCCAGATTAGCCCACAGCTGTCTTTGCAGAGAAACATTTGGATTTGACATGTGAAGCAACAAAAAACTTGTGCGGAAAGTGGTTATACCTAAATCATGAGCCATGGGCAGCACTGGCACCCACATCTAAAGACTAATAGTTTCTGTTTCCAGAAGTGTCTTAGGATAATATAGACACTCAACAAAGCAAAGCTCGTCGTCCATACTCCATTTTTTGGCCTGCAAGTTATATATATAAGTCTTTCCGCACATGATCTTTGCAATCAGCTCCCTTCTCTTTACATCCTGACACACGCGTGCAAAGGATAAAAGTTGGTCAAACAGCCATTATTTCAGATAGTCTGGCTGAGATTTGCAAAGATGCTTATGGAATTTTGATGTTGGAGTGCCCCGTAATTAGTAATTGACTGTGAACCCAAATCCCTGCATCAGTACCCAGATTAGCCCACAGCTGTCTTTGCAGAGAAACATTTGGATTTGACATGTGAAGCAACAAAAAACTTGTGCGGAAAGTGGTTATACCTAAATCATGAGCCATGGGCAGCACTGGCACCCACATCTAAAGACTAATAGTTCTGTTTCCAGAAGTGTCTTAGGATAATATAGACACTCAACAAAGCAAAGCTCGTCGTCCATACTCCATTTCTTGGCCTGCAAGTTATATGTATAAGTCTTTCCGCACATGATCTTTGCAATCAGCTCCCATCTCTTTACATCCTGACACACGTGTGCAAACGATAAAAAGCAAGGAAAACCATTAAATAAACGGTTTGAGACAGAAAGCTTTCGCCCATAAGGTATGTTTGCATGACAGCCGCATTGGCAGAACCTGCATTTGCATGAAACCATGACAGAATGCCTTTATCCTGGGCTGTCAGAGATCTGGAAATGCTGGTAATTACTGCAGGCTTTAGACCGACAACGCCTGTGCTGATGTGCCTTCCTCACCTCTGTGGCTTGTGCTGAGTAAAAACTGTGTGAGGTTCATCTGTGTTACAATTATCCCACCTGGCATCAGGGTAAGTATAAGCTACATGGAAACCACGCAACAAATCCTCCTCTGTCTCTGGGAAAGAATCAATTAGCACAATAATTGCTTATTTCCAGCTTAATGCTCCCTCTGATTTGTATTTCTTGAGCAGCTGGGAGCAGAGTCATACTTGAAAACTAAAAGTGTCAAAAGAAGTTTGGTCTGTGGATGTCACCGAGAAGTAAACAGCAAGAGGGATTTGAGAAAAAAAAAAAAGGGCGATGATTTTGAAGTTACATTGGTATAAAGGTGCATGATTTCATAAAAATGCCTTTGTTTGGAAATCAGAACAGAAATATGTACTATGTTTGCAATGGTGAACTACCAAATAATCATCTTTTGGTTTTTGACCCAAATTTTAACAAGATACCAAAGCACACGGTCTTCATTAATGTCCCCTGCCTTGCCAAGTTTAATGCTTTAGTTTGTTCTAGTTTATTCCTAGAAAAGAAATCAACAAAATTTGAGTTGTTTTCTCAGTCGTTGTCTTTTTTTATAAAACTGAAGGGCTCTTGCTCAAATTTTCATCCTTGAGGAAAAGACCAAGGAGAGCTCTTTATAACCACACCAGCGAACAACTGAAATCTTCTCAACGATCACACCCAAAGAACTATGAAAGAAATTGCTTTGTGATCCTATTTCAACAGAGAAATCAACTCCGTAACAGATAAAAAGGCTAACAGACTGTACTAAAGTATTAGGAGAGGACTAAAGAACAAAAGAGAGAGCATCATCACTAAACTCACGGTTTGCTTCCATCCTGAGAGCTGCTTGCAGTTCTAGCCCCCAACTCAGAAAGCAGCTAGCAGAACTGGGAAAGGATCTGAAGAAAAGGGCAATGAGGATGGTCAAAGGTGCGGAAGGGCTTATGTATGAGGAACAACTGCACTGGTTAGCAGTCCCCAGTCTGAAAAAGAAACACCTGGGGGAAGACCTGATAGCAGGGTACAAAATCATGAGTGGCCTAAGGAGGAACAGACTTGCAGAGTCAGAACCAGGAGGCATCATAAAAGGATAAGAAGTGATGCTGGTTCAAGATAAATTGAGGAAAGTGGTTCTTCAGGCAACATATAAGTTAAGGGGAATTCTTCTAACAGATGATGTGAATTGTCGATGATTGTGAGCTACAGGTGCCTGGAGCCCAGGAGTGTCTTACAGAGGAAGATCATATAGGATTGCCCTGTTCCTCTGCTGTTTCCCAGACATTAGCTTATGGACACTGCCAGAGCTTTGAGGCACAAATTCATCTCAGCCAAGGGCCCTCAATCCAACCTCGTACCACTTCATAAGCCATCCAGGCGGTTAAATTTTAGAGTCGGTTTTGGTTCAGCGTTGTGCTGCAGCATCATTGCAGGTGGAGCCTCTGTGTTCCATAACTGTGGTCAGGTGGGCTGCAGCTCTGTTTGAGTGTGGCTGTGCCTGTGTGCTTACAGTGAAATAGCATACATTTTATGAGCTATTCTGAAGCCTTGTTAACCCTAGGACAATGCAGAAACACCTAATAAAGAGGGCTTGCTTTCCCCCTTTCCTAGTCAGAAGGAGCACGGAGAAGAACGTGTGGCTGATGTGACTGTGGTGTGTACCCACAAAGGCCTCTGACTTAGAAAGTCCGATCACATAAACGTATAACCCAAAATCAATGCATGGCAGCGCTGTACAGAGGGGAAAGGGGTAAACTTGCACCTCCCACATCATCTCGCTGAGGC